CTCTGACAAAAAACAGCTACTCTCAGCTTTGTTCTGCACACCTCCTTCATGAATATCACCTCCTCTCCAGACTCCTCAATACTAATACTAATACTGGCCTTCTGAGTCCCTCTATTTCCCTCTACCCATCTGCCTAGAAACCCCAGCACTGCCCATTCCTGTACAGGACAGTGACTGCTATGATTCTTGATGAGGTGCCTGGTCCACCTGCCAGTAGCTCTGATGGCAGTCTCCAAAACCAAGTGGGCTCCAAAGTTCCTTTTTCTGTGCTGATTCAGGAGTCTTAGGCATTGGTAAGAAAACCATCAGAGGTTTTCTACAATTAGGCTCTAGCACCATTTCTGAGGTCCCAGCCAACACCCAGCACCCAAGATTTAGGGACTTAGCCTACTTTTCTTTTGACTTGAAAGATGCCATGGTCCACTCTAGCCTCTGCAATATTTCTCTCCACAAGACTGACTATTAAAGAGATTCAGACTGGACAACACAGAGGATAAACAGGGACTCTTTGCATTTTAAGAAGTGTACTGCTCGGGACTTCACTGGCAGCCCAGTAGTTAAGACTTTGCCTTCCAATGCAGGGGGTGCAGGTTCGATCCCTGGTTGGGGAGCTAAGATCCCACATTCCTCATGGCCAAGAAACCAAAACATAATACAGAAGCAATATTGTAACAAATTCAATAAAGACTTTAAAACTGGTCCACATCAAAAAAATCTTTGAAAAAAAGAAGTGTACTGCTAACTGGAAAGTTGTTTTTACACTTGGGGGAATGCAGAAATAATATAGGCGGAACATTACAAATTAGAGCTAAAAGGATTTCATCCAAAGTTCCTGACTCTAGCCTCTTTGGTCTGGGCTTCCTATGCTTAATCCTGAGAACATATTTCACTAAACATCCTCCTCCTCCTTGCTTAAGGGCTAGGATTTTTGGAATTATGCTTAATCTACAGATCAATTTGAATAGAATTGGCAGTTTAACAATATTGAGTCTTTTAATTCATGAACACAGTACTTCTCACCATTTGCTGAGGCCTTATTTAATTTCTCTCAATAATGTTTTATAGTCTTACACATCTTTGGTCACATTTAACCCTAAGTATTTCATATTTTTCATCCTATTAAAAATGGTACTTTAACAAAGTTTTCAACTTCCAATTTTTCATTGCTACTATATAGAAATACAATGGGTTTTTGTATATCAGCCTCTGTCCTTCAGCCTTGCTAAGCTCACTTATTAGTTCTAGTAGCTTTTCTTTTAAATTCCTTAGGTTTTTATACATAGAAAATCACACAGTCTGAGAATAAAGAAGGTTTTCCTTCATCCTTTCCGATCTAAATGTTTTTTTCTATTGCTTTATCATACTGACTAGAATCTCCAATATGATGTTGAATAAAAGGAATGAGAAGGGACAGTCTTACCGCATTCCCAATAGTAGAAAAAAAACATTCACTCCTTCACCACTAAGAATAATGTTAGTTATAAGTATCTCCTAGATATTCTTCATCAGACTGAAGAAGTCCTCTTCTATTGCTAGTCTACTATGAGTTTTTATCATGAATGGTTGTGGACTTTTGTCAAATATAGTTTCTGCATCTATCAAAATGATGGCATTTGATTTAAATATGGGGTTAACTTTAGCCTGTTAATATGGTGAATTACACCAAATTGCTTTTCAGATATTAAACCAGCCTTGCACTCCTGAGATAAACCCCACTAGCTCATGTTGTATTATCCTTTTAATACATTGCTGGATTTTATTTGTTAATATTTTGGTGAGGACTTTTTCACCGATGTTTGTGAGGAGTACTGGTCTGTAGCTTTCTTTTCTTAAAATGTCCGTTCCTGGTTCTGGTATTAGGGCAATGCTGGCCTCACAGAATGAGTTGGAAAAGGTATCCTTCTCTTGTTTTTCCTGTAAGCGTTTTTGTAAAATCAAGGACTATTTCTTCCTTAAATGTTTAGTGGAATTCATCAGTAAGTGAAACCATCTAGGTTTCCATATATTTTCAAGATCTCTATTAAAATGTTTAAAAAGAAATTAAGGGCTTCCCTGGTGGCACAGTGGTTGGGAGTCCACCTGCCGATGCAGGGGACGCAGGTTCGTGCCCCAGTCCGGGAAGATCCCACGTGCCGTGGAGCGGCTGGGCCCGTGAGCCATGGCTGCTGAGCCTGTGCATCCGGAGCCTGTGCTCCGCAACGGGAGAGGCCACAACAGTGAGAGGCCCGCGTACCGCAGAAAAAAAAAAGAAATTAACACTTAACACAGCCATTCCATTAACTCTTTAACCAGTCAATACCTCATACCTGCCCTGGTCAGCTCTAGATCCATCTGTCTTGCTAAACACTCTTCTATTTCTTTCTAGTCTATCCATTCTCACCCCTTAAGTAGAAGGGATCCATCATCTTTTCTGTTCCTTGGCTTATCTTTACTATAATGCTGCCTATTTACTCTCTCTATGACTTCTAGGAATACTTCCTTTGGTTTGACCAGACCCTAATGCATTCTTCCTGTCATCTTAAACTCAGTCAACACTGCTCGATGATGCTTTCAGGAAAAGAGGAAATGACCTAAATCAACCTATGTTCCTAGGACCTGGAGCCAACCCTTAGCTGTGTTTTCAAGACTCAAGTAAGGAGACTATCCACAATTGTCAGCAACTAGGGATGGGAGTTGGGGGGAGGTGAAGAGGTAGATCTGGACTAGGATAATTCACTCTTGTAAAACACTCTGCACTTAACTTCGCAGCATTAATCAAAATTTTCCTTAAATTTGTATAAGTGTGAGTAGTATCTGTCTCTTCCTACCTGCACTCCCTACCAGACTAAAAGCTCCATGAGGGCAACAACTATGTCCATCTTGAGCATTAATAATTTCCGTGCACCCTACAAATTCCTGACACATAGGTCTTACTCAGTTACTATAGCCCTATCAGATAAAAAGAAGAATTTAATTTCTGCCTCAACAAAGCTCTGAGATAAGGTAGTACTTCCCACATTTCTGGAAAAAATTAATAATAAAAACTTGAGCTGCTACCATGGGTCAGGCACTATTCTAAGATTTCTACATATATTCTCATTTAATACTACGACAAACCTATGAAGTAGGTACTATGATTATTCTCATTTTACAGATGAGGTATTTGAAGGACAGAGAGGGTGTATAATTCACCCAAGGTTATACAGATGACTGGCAAAGATGAGCTTCAAACCCAAGTAGCCTAGCCTAAAAGTCCACTCTATCAATCACTCTGCTGTAATACCTCTCACTGAAGAGGATACCAAATTCTTGAGTAGCAATAAATTGAGCCAAATAAAATAAAAGATATGATATAAAGAATACTAGGGGGACTTCTCTAGTGGCACAGTGGTTGGGAGTCTGCCTGCCGGTGCGGGGGATGCAGGTTCGAGCCCTGGTCTGGGAGGTTCCCACATGGCACAGAGCAGCTGGGCCCATATGCCTCAACTACTAAGCCTGCATTCTGGGGCCCACAAGCCACAACTACTGAAGCCCACGCGCCTAGAGCCCGTGCTCGGCAACAAGAGAAGCCACCGCAATGAGAAGTCCGCACACAGCAACGAAGAATAAACCTCACACACCGCAACTAGAGAAAGCCCGCACACAGGAATGAAGACCCAACGCAGCCAAAAATAAATAAATAAATGAAAAAAGAAAAAGAATACTAGGAATCATGCAGCTTAATATTAAAAAAAACAAACAGCCCAATCAAAAAATGGGCAGAAGACCTAAATAGACATTTCTCCAAAGAAGACATACAGATGGCCAAGAGGCACATGAAAAGATGCTCAACATCACTAATTATTAGAGAAATGCAAATCAAAACTACCATGAGGTATCACCTCACACCAGTTAGAATGGGCAACCCACTACTGGGCATATACCCAGAGAAAACCATAATTCAAAAAGACACATGCACCCCAACGTTCATTGCAGCACTATTTACCATAGCCAGGTCATGGAAGCAACCTAAATGCCCATCGACAGATAAATGGATAAAGAAGATGTGGTACATGCATACAATGGAATATTACTCAGCCATAAAAAGGAATGAAATTCGGTCATTTTGTAGAGATGTGGATGGACCTAGAGTCTGTCATACAGAGTGAAGTAAGTCAGAAAGAGAAAAACAAACATCGTATATTAACGCATACATGTGGAACCTAGAAAAATGGTACAGATGAACCGGTAAAGACACAGATGTAGAGAACAAACGTATGGATACCACAGGGGGAAAGAGGGCGGGGGTGGGGGTAGGTGGTGGTGGTGGGATAAATTGGGAGATTAGGATTGACATATATACACTAATATGTATAAAACAGATAATAAGAAACTGCTGTATAAATAAAATAAAATAAAATTCAAAATATGAAAAGAATACTAGGAAGAAAAATTCAGACTTAGATATACAAGTTACCAGTTTTATATGACAATTCAAAGAAACTGTTGCTATGAATCATTCTAGTGCCTGATCCTTATTTAAAACAATAGTCAAAACAAAACCAAATCTTCCTTTTCAGTTGACAGACACAGATGGAGACTAAAACCCAGAATATTCTCATGTTAAAAACATTTTCGTCTGCTACCAAATTTCTGTTTTATAAAAATACACAGTCTATTTTTATCTGCCACGAGAAGTCCAATTACCAAACTGGACATCACAGAACTAGATATGTGTTGCCTGGGTTCTCCAGGAGAGGCAGCAGGAATATGTGAAGACTGCACCATCCCTATGGCTTTGTCTTTCTAGTTCTCCCAGCATTAAATGTGGGATATTAATATGTATCAGGTTTGAATGTCCCCTGCAAGCTTTTTTTCTATCCTAAAAATTACCAGAAACCAATGCAAAGCATGTGACAGGGAAGACAGATCATAGGGGAGGGAACAAGGTGAACCGAAATCATTAAATGTCTGCGCACCCAATGCTTCTATGTCCCAAGAATTCTGTGGTCTGCTTCTGAGGCAACCAAGGGCCTCAGGGGTCTGTGACGGCTTCAGTTAATGATGTCTCACTGATGCACTACTGCAAAAGGCTCTGAGAAGTCTACAGTTATAAAAGGAAAATTTAACTCACCTTCCACTGCTCCTCTGGAAGCAGATTCACAACCACCAGGTCCCCATTCAAGGCTCTATTACGAGCAACAACCCCATCAATAAAAATGTCTCGATCACCATCCTAGGTTGGAGAAGGAAATAAAGTAGTCAGTTTACCAAGGCTTGGAACCAAAAAATTACTTCCTTGGTTTAAAAACTGTAGACTCTACAATCTGTCCACTGAGTTAACAGGAACACTAGTATTTAACCACAAACAGACCTAGAGGAAGCTCAGGCTCTTTGGAACTAATAGAAATGGTGATGAACACAGAAGAACAGGTTAACATAATACTAAAAAATCACCAAATAAGAGAAGATCTACTGTAGACAGGCCAAACCAAACAAACAAAAATGCATAAAGCAGAAAACGAGGGGCTTCTCTGGTAGCGCAGTGGTTGAGAGGCCGCCTGCCGATGCAGGGCACATGGGTTCGTGCCCTGGCTCGGGAGGATCCCACATGCCGCGGAGCGGGTGGGCCCGTGAGCCATGGCCGCTGAGCCTGCGCGTCCGGAGCCTGTACTCCGCAGCGGGAGAGGCCGCAGCACTGAGAGGCCCGCCTACCGCAAAAAAAAAAAAAAAAAAGAAAGAAAACGAGGACTGCATGCTTTCATAACTGAAATGAGAAAGGAGTAAGTTACCCTTTTTTGTTTTAAATAAAATAAAGCATGATAGTACCTTTTGTACATGACTGAATTTTTGTAAGGGAAAGGTAAAAAGTAGACAATTTGCAAGAAAACAGAAGAACAACAACACATTGATATAATCCCCAAAGAAAACCAAACAAGGGCAGGAGCAACAACCAGCTCCAGGAGTTGGGTTCTCTAGGAGAAAACCAGCAAAGTCACACTCCCCCCAAAGAAGTGGCAGAGAGAGCAATGTGGTTTGTTTGTTTGTTTTCTAACTGAAGTATAGTTGATTTACAATACTGTGTTAGTTTCAGGTGTGCAGCACAGTGATTCAGTTATTTTTTTCAGATTATATTCCATTATAGGTTATTACAAGATATTATATATAATTCCCTGTACTATACAGTAAATCTTGTTTGCTTATCTATTTTATGTATAGTAGTTTGTATCTGTTAATTCCATATTCCTTAACTGACCCTCTCCAGCCTCTGGTAAACATAAATTTGTTTCTATGTCTGTGAGTCTGTTATATATAGATTCATTTGTATTATTTTTTAGAATCCATATATAAGTGATACCATATAGTATTTTTCTTTCTCTGTCTGTCTCTGTCTTCACTAAGCATTATTCTCTGGGTCCATCCATGTTGCTGCAAATGGCAGTATTTCACTCTTTTGTATGGCTGAGTAATATTCCAATGTATATATACCACATCTTCTTAAGCCAATCGTCTGTTGATTAGCACCTGGGTTGTTTTCATGTCTTGGCTATTGAACCCAGGTCCACAGCAGTGAAAGCCCGAGTCTTAAGTTAGCACCTGGGTTGTTTTCATGTCTTGGCTATTGAACCCAGGTCCACAGCAGTGAAAGCCCGAGTCTTAATCACTGGGACGCCAGGGAATTCCCCTCAAGCACATACTTAAAAACAATCCACCTGAAGCAGTGTAGCCCCAGTGAACTCCCCAGGTATCGACTGCCAAACTTAATTAGTTGCCAGAGTCTTCTTATTAAGCCAAATTACTTTGCAAAAATAATTAAATGGAAAAGGTAGCTAAGAAAAGCATGCCTTCAGCAATAAGTTTCCATGAAAAAATTAAACATTTTCAAAATGTTTCACCAACAAACATGCAAAGATGTGGATGGACCTAGAGACTGTCATACAGAATGAAGTAAGTGAGAAAGAGAAAAACAAATATCATACATTAACACATATATGTGGAATCTAGAAAAAATGGTACAGATGAACGGTTTGCAAGGCAGAAATAGAGACACAGCTGTAGAGAACAAACGTATGGACACCAAGGGGGGAAAGGGGGGAAGGGGAGGGGGCCGGTGGTGGTGGTATGAATTGGGAGATTGGAATTGACATATATACATAATATGCATACAATAGATAACTAATAAGAACCTGCTGTAAAAAAATAAATAAATAAAATACATATATGCAAAAAAACAAACATGCAAACATGTACTCTCATCCTTTCATCCTTCCAAGAGTTTATATTATGTGCTTCTTTTCAGAGGATAAGAGAGAAGTAAAATGTTACTTTTTCTCAAAGGAGGTAACAGCAAACTGGCTTGGAAAGCCACCACTCAAACTTCTCTACTAGAGACAGTTGATGCTACGCTCAACAGACTGCAGGTGATTACTATGGTATTTTAAATAAAGATAAAATTAACACTGCAAATTCACCACCACACTCACAGAATGGGATTTCATATACTCAGTATTTTTTTTACAGTTTCCAATTACAAACCATTAGAGATCTTTAGAACAGTCTTTCTGTTCAATTTCCAATTTAGCCACAGGCTAGCAGCTGTGGCCTGCACACTTTGCCAAACCTGACCCACCCTAGTTCCTAAGGAATAGCTACCGTGCCAGTCACAAAGACGGTTCGTGATAAGCTTCTCAGAGAAATAAGAAGACGCAACCAGTAAATAAAGAGTGAACAACTGAAGTGTGGCACAACATCATCAACTGCCTTCTGCAATTTATAAAGTAATGGGATCTCTCCAACTTCTCTACAATGAACATAAAGCTGTCCAGAGGTCATCCGAACCCACCATCATGTGTCAAAACGCATGCAATCAGATGCCTCTTTCAGAAGCAGCTACACCACTCTTAGCTTAGAGAGTTAAGAGGGTAAGATGCTGGTACTGTCAAGTTTCTATCCCAAGAAACGAAGAGAAGCAGGGCTGACTTGAACCTCGAACAATACACAAATCTATAGATACTGAATCACAACTCAGCTCTTACTTGATTCATTCAGAAGCCTGCATCTATTGCAGCATCTCTTATTTTAAAGATACTTGAGGCCAGAAACTATCAAACTCTTAGAGGAAAACATAGGCAGAACACTCTATGACATAAATCACAGCAAGATCCTTTTTGACCCACCTCCTAGAGAACTGGAAATAAAAACAAAAATAAATAAATGGGACCTAATGAAACTTCAAAGCTTTTGCACAGCAAAGGAAACCATAAACAAGACCAAACGACAACCCTCAGAATGGGAGAAAATATTTGCAAATGAAGCAACTGACAAAGGATTAATCTCTAAAATTTATAAGCAGCTCATGCAGCTCAATAACAAAAAAACAAACAACCCAATCCAAAAATGGGCAGAAGACCTAAATAGACATTTCTCCAAAGAAGATATACAGAATGCCAACAAACACATGAAAGAATGCTCAACATCATTAATCATTAGAGAAATGCAAATCAAAACTACAATGAGATATCATCTCACACCAGTCAGAATGGCCATCATCAAAAAATCTAGAAACAATAAATGCTGGAGAGGGTGTGGAGAAAAGGGAACACTCTTGCACTGCTGGGAATGGGAATTGGTACCGCCACTATGGAGAACAGTATGGAGGTTCCTTAAAAAACTACAAATAGAACTACCATATGACCCAGCAATCCCACTACTGGGCATATACCCTGAGAAAACCATAATTCAAAAAGAGTCATGTACCAAAATGTTCATTGCAGCTCTATTTACAATAGCCCAGAGATGGAAACAACCTAAGTGTCCATCATTGGATGAATGGATAAAGAAGATGTGGCACATATATACAATGGAATATTACTCAGCCATAAAAAGAAATGAAATTGAGCTATTTGTAATGAGGTGGATGGACCTAGAGTCTGTCATACAGAGTGAAGTAAGTCAGAAGGATAAAGACAAATACTGTATGCTAACACATATATATGGAATTTAAGGGAAAAAAATGTCATGAAGAACCTAGGGGTAAGACAGGAATAAAGACACAGACCTACTAGAGAATGGACTTGAGGATATGGGGAGGGGGGAGGGTAAGCTGTGACAAAGCGAGAGAGAGGCATGGACATATATACACTACCAAACGTAAGGTAGATAGCTAGTGGGAAGCAGCCACATAGCACAGGGAAATCAGCTCGGTGCTTTGTGACCACCTGGAGGGGTGGGATAGGGAGGGTGGGAGGGAGGGAGACGCTAGAGGGAAGAGATATGGGAACATATGTGTATGTATAACTGATTCACTTTGTTTGTTATAAAGTAGAAACTAGCACACCATTGTAAAGCAATTATACTCCAATTAAAAAAAAAAAGATACTTGAGGACAGCTCAATATTAAAAGTTTGAGTCAATCCCTCCTAACTTTTTTTTCCAAATTAACAAACTGTAATTGTTTTCCCAAAGATACATTTCTTTTTATATACATCCATCATACACTGTAAACAAAAAAAGCAGTGTACATGAAATAAGAGAAAATAAATAGCATAGGTACTTATAGGAGAAGAAAATCCATAGCATAGGTAAGGAGGCTCTAGTCTGGAGCACAGCTGAGTTTCCAGCAGTATAACCTCTTAACTACTTTTTAAGGCCAAGGAATTCATTCCTTCATTTGAATGCCAGAAGACTTGCTCTATCCATCAGAAAGAATAGAAAAAAAAGAAAAATGGATAATGATCAACCTGTTGGAAATATAAAGGGATCTATGGGTAATCTAACTAAATGTATAGGAGGCAGGAGTGGGGAGGATAGCCCAAGTATACTATGATGGTCAGAACATCCTCCACCGATGGAATAGCTCCCTTTGGACCAGAAATAAATTCCACAGATGTACAAAGAGTGCCTCCCATGATGAGATGCACAAAAAAGCTACAGAACTCCTTGCACCAATATAATTCAGAACTGAAACTGTGCTTTTAATAAAAAGCCAGGTTTTTACATCTGGTCCATTTTTCCTCTTTATCTTATTCCCAAATGGGATAGAAAGACACCTCAATAATATCAATTTATCTTGGTTTTGTGAAAAAGTTACATGGTTCTTTCTTACTTTTATTGAGAACAAGAGAACACTATCAGGTACACACAGAAGTAACATCCCATGTATGTTGAGTTTGTCATAGGAAAATGAATATCAACTTTCTATCAGTAGAAATTATAATAAACCTAAATCATGTTCCCCCAAAACAAAGTACTTTTTTATACCTGATGATCAATTCATTGTTTCTAGCCTGTTGATATATGTAGATATTTTAACACAGAAAGTGACACTGTATAAGTTCTCAACTGTTTTTAGAGTCAGTAAGAATAAACCTAAATAATTTCATCAAATCTAGTGTATTTTTGTTTCTCCAAAAACTTTAAAATTTTAAAGTTATGAAGAACATTAGACAATATTTAATCCACCCCTTCATTTTACAATTAAGGAAACTTTCCATTTCTTATTGTCAGAGCTGAGGCTTCATCTTCTATCAATTCCTATCTTTATTGTCCCTGCTAAAGCAGGGACAGGTAACAGGCCCTGCATCTGATATCCTACCTTCTAGTCTACCTGTGAGCATTTTTCCAGTTCATACAAGTTCACAGTTGACATGGGCACAAGCTACGTATACTCAGAAATCTAGACCAGTGGTGGGATCTACCTACATGTAATTCATTGCCTCTACTATCTCCCCCTTCAACTGCTCTCCATAATGCTTCTAAAACCTGAAACTGACCAGAAAATCTACAAAACTAGAATGCAGGATTGTGCCAGTGTCCAAAACTGGAGTATCTACAATCACTTACAGCTGGGTCTTGATAGAGCTTCTGTAGTAGAGGTGAGTCATTTAGCACTTTTTCTCCCTCTGAGACAATTTTATTACTCCATCAGCGGCCAGATAAGAGAATAAAAGAGGTATAGAAGTAAGCCAATCCTAATACCACAACTGTGTAAAAAATTCTAAATAGGACATGCCAGGAATACAATTTCAAGTGGGAGAACAACTTGAGCTTTTGAAACATCAATAACTTTTGCTTAACTTCCTTTAACAAGCCAGATTAAACAGTGGCAACACATCATTTGCAAATTTAAATCACATGAACTTAACTTACAGGAACATAACCAGGCCAACACTTCAGAGGACCTCTGCTCTGGCCCTCCTCCGACCACACCCCTCCTCAACAGGTAAGGAGTTCTCAAGGCTAAATGGATTGTAATCAGCCCCAAGCCCACTTCCAGGGCATATATAAGCACCTTCCCCAGGTCTATCTTCCCAAACGCAGACCACATCACAGGTGGCACCCCTAGACTCGACAGGTGGCTAATGGGTGGGTATTTCTAAAGGGTATGGGCAGAGCTTGGACATGTGGGATAAGATGCTCACCTAGAGGGCAAGGGCCCTTGCTGAATGCGGGGGAGGAGGCAGGAGGGCAGCAAAGAGGGGACAGGGAGCAAGATCTGGGAAGGGAAGAGGGGCAGGCCAGAGGTGGACCCTCTCCATGCAGCCACCTTTCACCATGGAGCTCCGAGGAGTCTGAGAATTCTACATCTGAACCCCAGTACAAGTACACGGAGGTATACTTGGCAAGGACTATATTTTATCTGTCATGAATGTATTTTACTTAACAGTTTGTTAGTCTGATTTATAACTTTTAAATATTTAATATAAGGTATGTGTGCCTCCATCTGTATTTTGTCCTAGGCCATACACTCGTTAGGAGCCGGCCTAATAGGGATCTAACTTAGGGAAATTCAATACTGTGTACTCAGGAAAGAGAGAAAGCTAGCAGAAAAATTTTCAAAATACTGTATGTAGTTCCACCTATCATTCCCATCGATGAGAGCAAACCTCAGTGTGCAGGGAGGGCGATCTGCTCAGTTCCCAGGTACCTCTCAGGGTGAACTCCTTACTGCACGGGTATGATTCTCGTGCTTAAAAAATCCATGTTTGGGCTTCCCTGGTGGCGCAGTGGTTGAGATTCCGCCTGCCGATGCAGCGGACACGGGTTCGTGCCCCGGTCCGGGAAGATCCCACATGCCGCGCAGCGGCTGGGCCCATGAGCCATGGCCACTGAGCCTGTGCGTCCGGAGCCTGTGCTCCGCAACGGGAGAGGCCACAGCAGTGAGAGGCCTGCGTACCGCAAAAAAAAAAAAAAAGAAAAAAAAAAAAAGAAAATCCATGTTTTTCACACAGTGGGGCCCCTAGTATAATTGAGCTCCTTCAACTGGTGTGCCAAAGAAGAAACAATCACCCTTTCTAATGTGGAGAAAATGCTGGTTATGCTAGACTTATTGAGAGATGGTTACTCCCTCTCCAACATGGCATATTCCTAAGAGATTTTCATTGGTAATTTTTATGATTATTGAATGTGAATTTCACCTTATGAGCAAACTCTGAAATCTAACACCCACGTAAACTGTTTGATGGAATAGCTCCCGCAGCTAAGTTACTACCTCAAATCTGACACTCAATTCTATAATCTAAGCACCAGGGTCAGCAATATATACCATGTTCTGTCACAGGAACAGAAAATGACTAAGAGAGAACAAGGTGACATGTGACATCTTTTATCTAAGCCAGTGGGTAAGACCTAAACTTGAGATACAAATGTGAATCCTTGGCTTCAGGACAAGGGCAAGGGAAAAAAGGACAAAACTGAACTTCAGAATAGGTCTTAGGTTATTGAAACAACAACAGTAATAATACCTATGAAGTACATGACTGAACTTGTATTCTCATTAAACTTGTCATTTCACAAAATGAAATAAGTTAACTGAAATATATGTATTCCATTTCCTCATCTATGAGCCGAAGTTTCTTCCTATAATCTCTTCCACTGTGAAAAATCTAATTCTATGGCTATCCTATTTATGGTATCCTGGAAAAGTTAGGCCAAGAATTTAAGAATACTGCTCTCCCAGCTTTGCACAATCAAACATTATCCAGAGACCTGCTGTTAATTATATGTCAGAGTGAACTTCCCTTAATGAGAGAGAGCCTATTAAAATGAGTCATGAACCTAAGAAAGACTATAAAGAGCCAATGGTAAAAAGCCTTGTACCAAGTCCTATCACCTGCGTAAAAGTGAAGTGAGAAACTGACCAGAAAAAAAAAAAATAATACACATTATTTTTGGACAAAGTTGCAGAATAGCTCATGCAGTAGATTGAAAGTACACAGCATATTTGTTTAGGAGAGATTAACTTAAATCAGTGGAAAAACCCATAAATCCTTTTAAGCTATAAACCAAGGGTGTCCAATTACAAGAACTGGTGGGTATCTGTGTGGGTTCAGCTGCTCCCTGCAGCCTAGTAACAAATGCCATCCCTTTCATTTGAAGTGTGATTTTTAAGATTGGCAGAAGGGGCTGTTAACCAAAGGCAAATTTTGTTTATTTAAATTTGAAACAAATCCTTGCCCATCCTCAATTTTGTTTTACTACTCTGTTTTTTAGTTAGAATATATGATTTCAGTTTTACAGCACATCTAAAAAATTAAATGTGACATTGGGTTTATTATAAAGTTATTGAACTTACCGGGGAAGGAATGAAGGCTTCATGAAACTTCTTCGGATTAATTCTCAATACACCCTTTAAAATAAAAAATAAAACCTGTGAAAATTTAACTAGTTATACACTTACAATCTTTCCATACATATGTTACTAGTCAATAAAAAGTTTAAAATTAATTAAACAATTCGATCTAGGAAACAAGTTAGATGTATGAGAACTATTCATTAAATGCATGAAATATGATTTATACTGATGTCTGTATCACAGAGTTCTATCAAACACTAAAAGCTCACACTGGCACCTTGCAGTGAATGGGCAGAGGTGAGAAGCAACAGAGATTGGCGTGGAGTGGGAAAGTGGCAACTATTGGGATTTTATGTGCCCTTATATGCTAGTCTTCAAATATAAACCTTTACTTTAAGAACAAGGTTACGGGGGATTATGCCTCACTACACAATGGCCTTTTTTTATTCTGTAAGACCTTCCCACAATTGCTTGCTTCTGTGACAATTTTCAAAGTGATACAGGTTGACTTCCAGGTTGAATACTTAGTCTCGAGGGGCTGGATGCATATTTTTTACTCTGGCCCCTCTGCAGAGCTGAATGAGTCAATAATTCAAAATGGTCCAGAACCAGCTCTTAATGTAAGTGGGAATCCTGGCTCCAACAGCCAGGCCACCCAGTCTGCCTTCAACTTCACGTCAGTCCAGCACGAAGTCAGGGTCTGCCTCTATTTATGCACAGGGGTGCAGGTGGGGCCATCTTCAACAGCAGTTCAGTATTTTAGACTCTTGCAGGAAGCTGTAACCCTCCCCACTTACAGCTGCAACTGAAGGCCACTGGAACACATGGATGGAGGCAGTTATTTTCCTAAGAGTCAGACTCAAAGGGTGTCTTGAGAAACTGTTTTAAATAACATCTCTCCCCTAAAATACTGAAAGACTCAAAGATACACAATTAACAAAATAGGTGAGGGCATAAAATAAAGCAGAAAATAATTCCTTCTTTCACTGGTACACCATGTTTAAATTACAAATTTCCAAGCAACAGTTTATATTACTGTTAAATCCCACACAGACTACTATAAATCCTCATTCAGTCCTTAATTTAATAATTATTTACTGAATTCTGATTATGTGCCAGACCCTGAGACAGACAATGTGGGAGAGTGAGAACCAAGCTCAGTCTTTGTTTATAAAGTAAAACATGAAGAATGCCACAAGTGAGGGGACAGCGTACTTTCAGCTAGGGGCACTAGGCAAGGCTCCAGAGATGGTGTCTGACCTGGTCCTTGATGGAGGAGTAAAATTTGAACATAAATCGGAAAGGAAATATAGGCAAGAGTGATTAAGAGGGCAAATACTCTTCTACCACCATGCTGTATTAGGGTAAGAGACAGAGGTCCTGGGAAGTAAGGCAGGCAAAGCTCCCAGAGGCCAGTCCCTTTTCTATGAATGTCACTGCAATTTCACTTTTAGGGCAGCTGTTTCTTGTTGGGAGAGGGAGGAAAAGGCTTATTATATTTATCCTCAATATTCATCCACTCACTCAACAAATATCTCCTGACAATTAGCATGACAGGCACTATGCTAAGTGATGGGGCCACAATGGAGAGAGAGTAATAATAGATAGGCTCTACCCTCATAGCTTACAGTCCAGTGAGAGGAAATAAACACTCCAAATAAATAAAAGTAAACTCATTGATTTTTTAAAATTCATTTTCTGACCCAAGTTCCTTTTTTTTCAACTGCTCATCTTCTATCATCCCTTCAAGCTCAGTGAATGGTTAGTACATGAAGAAGTATAGAGATGAGAATGCCTTCTGCTTTGAAAGTACCTTTAATTACAGAGCACTCAGAGATGCCACAGCTGGACTCAGGGGAAAGAAACAGGTTGCTCAGGGCTGTATCTTGCTCTATTTTGTTTGTCTGTGTTTTTTTTTATTGAGATATGTTTGATGTACAATGTCATATAAGTTACAGGTATATAACAGTGATGTGCAATTTTTAAAGGTTATATACTCGATGTATAGTTATTATAAAATATCTCGACTCTGTTGAAAAGAACAACTACTGGACTTCCCTGGTGGCACAGTGGTTGGGAGTCCGCCTGCCGATGCAGGGGACACGGGTTCGTGCCCCAGTCCGGGAAGATCCCACATGCCGCGGAGCAGCTGGGCCTGTGAGCCATGGCCGCTGAGCCTGCGCTCCACAATGGGAGAGGCCACAACAGTGAGAGGCCCGCGTACCGCAAAAAAAAAAAAAAAAAAAAAAACTACTAAAAGGACCAAAAAGATTCTATACTTGATTGTCCATCACACACTTCCTGATATATAAAAGCACACAAGGAGGGACACATGCCTTGTTCAAGAAAAATGTTTGCAATTTGACTGGAGCATACTCTTAAGAACTGGACCTCAGGAACAGATCCCCTGAGAGTACAGATCACACTAAGAAAGAAAAATCTCTAGCAGAGTCCACAGCAGACCACGGTCATCCCCACAGCCTGAAGAAGCTGTCAGGAAAGCAACTCAAGAAATGGGCTTGTAACTGAAAGAGACTTCTAGCAGATGTCTTGTTTTACTCACCTACATACATAAGTCCAGAACTTCCATTTCCATATTTCTATAACCATTGCCTAATCTGCCCCAAACCCTCATCTCTCATTTTCCTCCTCAACCCTCTCCTAAGCCTGAAACTGGTGGCTCCAAATCCTCCATCTCTTTTCTGAATGCTCTGGTGCCTCCTTGCCTCCACTGAAACCTGATGTGACCAATTCCCTTCAAGTGCTCTCAAAGGGGGCCGATTTTCTCTCTCCTATCCCATATAGCTCAGGGACCAGAAGAAGAATGTTTCCCCCTTGCTTCCCCACTACAGCTTTAAAAATTCTCCCATTCTCTATCAAAATCCCCAGATACTTAGAATTTCATGTCACTGGCTCCTGCTATACCTCCCTGGTGCTGGCATCTTCAAACCTTCTGATCGTACCCCTAATTTACTAATGTTGCTTTACAACAAATGCTAAAGAAACTTCTCTAGGTGGGAAACACAAGAGAAGAAAAAGACACACAAAAACAAACCCAAAACAATTAAGAAAATGGTAATAGGAACGTACATACTGTAACAACCTTGAATGTAAATGGATTAAATGCCCCAACCAAAAGACACAGACTGGATGAAGGGATATAAAAACAAGACCCATCTATATGCTGTCTACAAGAGACCCACTTCAGACCTAGGGACACATACAGACTGAAAGTGAAGGGATGGAAAAAAGATATTCCATGCAAATGAAAATCAAAAGAAAGGTGGAGTATCAACACTTGTATCAGATTTTTAAAATAAAGACTGTTACAAGAGATAAAGAGGGACACGACATAATGATCAAAGGATCAACCCAAGAAGAAGATGTAACAATTATAAATGTTTATGCACCCAACATATGAGCACCTCAACACATAAGGCAATCGCTAACAAACATAAACGGAGGAACCGACAGTAACACAATAACAGTAGGGGACTTTAACACCCCACTTCACTAACGGACAGATCATCCAAACAGAAAATAAATAAGGAAACACAAGCTTTAAATGACACAACAGACCAGATAGATTTAATTGATATTTATAGAACATTCCACCCAGGGCTTCCCTGGTGGCGCAGTGGTTGAGAGTCCGCCTGCCAACGCAGGGGACACGGGTTCACGCCCCGGTCCAGGAAGATCCCACATGCCGCGGAGCAGCTACTAGGCCCGTGAGCCATGGCCGCTGAGCCTGCGCATCCGGAGCCTGTGCTCCGCAACGGGAGAGGCCACAACAGTGAGAGGCCCGCGTACCACACAAAAAAATAATAATAATAAAAAAAATAAACCCCAAATGGATTAAAGACTTAAATGTAAGACCAGACACTATAAAACTCTTGGAGGAAAACATAGGAAAAACACTCTTTGACATAAACCACAGCAAGATCTTTTTTGACCCACCTCCTAGAGTAACGGAAATAAAAACAAAAATAAACAAATGGGACTTAATTAAACTTAAAAGCTTTTGCATAGCAAAGGAAACCATAAACAAGACAAAAAGACAACCCTCAGAATGGGAGAAAATATTTGCAAATGAAACAAGAGACAAAGGATTAATCTCCAAAATATACAAATAGCTCATGCATCTCAATGTCAAAAAAACAAACAATCCAATCAAAAAATGGGCAGAAGACTTAAATAGACATTTCACCAAGGAAGACATACAGATGGCCAAGAGGCACATGAAAAGATGCTCAACATCACTAATTATTAGAGAAATGCAAATCAAAACTACAGTGAGGTATCACCTCACACCAGTCAGAATGGCCATTATCAAAAAATCTAGAAACAATAAATGCTGGAGAGGGTGTGGAGAAAAGGGAACCCTCTTGCACTGTTGGTGGGAATGTAAATTGATACAGCCACTATGGAGAACAGTATGGAGGTTCCTTAAAAAACTACAAATAGAACTACCATATGACCCAGCAATCCCACTACTGGTCATATACCCTGAGAAAACCATAATTCAAAAAGAGACATGTACCACAATGTTCATTGCAGCACTATTTACAATAGCCAGGACACGGAACCAACCTAAATGTCCATTGACAGATGAATGGATAAAGATGTGCCACATACATACAGTGGAATATTACTCAGCCATAAAAAGACACGAAATTGAGTTATTTGTAGTGAGTTGGATGGATCTAGAGTCTGTCATACAGAGTGAAGCAAGTCAGAAAGAGAAAAACAAATACCATATGCTAACGCATATATAATGGAATCAAAAAAAAAATGGTACTGATGAAACTAGTTGCAGGGCAGGAATAAAGAGGTAGACATTGAGAATGGACTTGAGGACATCGGGTGGGATGGGGAAGCTGGGGCAAAGTGAGAGTAGCATTGACATATATATACACTACCGAATGTAAAATAGTTGGCTGGTGGGAAGCAGCATCATAGCACAGGGAGATCGGCTCAGTGCTCTGCGATGACCCAGAGGGGTGGGATAGTGAGGATGGGAGGGAGGCTCAAGAGGGAGGGGATATGGGGACACGTGTATGCATATGGCTGATTTGCTTTGCTGTGCAACAGAAACTAACACAGTACTGTGAAGCAATTATACTCCAATAAAGATCTATTAAAAAAATAAGTAAATAAAAATTAAAAAATAAAAACATCTCTTATCTTTCAATAAAAGTTTCTTTGGGGAAAGAAAAAGGATGTCACAATATACTTAAGTTTGTATACAAAAGCTAACAAATGCTTACATCTAATATATATATTTAATAAGTTTAATTTTCTCCAACAGCATTCAAATTTCTTTTCTTGACTAGCCTTTTACCTTACCCATTAAGGCCTGCACAGATGGACTCTGTTTCTCTGCCTATGAAAATCTTATTTACAGTGTTGTATATTTCACACGGTGACCTCATATCTGGAACCCATTCCTTTTCCCATCTGCAAAGAACAACTGTTCTCATCTGTGGGGGGAGGCTCTGGCTGCAGAGTCTCATGATGTCACAGGCCAGGAGGAATCACTTACAAACTCCTGGGAATGAGGGTTGTTATATTGATCACCTTTTTTTTTTAACATTAGCAAAGAGTTGCTTCAAAAGCAAAAATTAATACGAGGGAGCAAAAATAATACCACTGCAGAATAGTTTCCTGAGCCTATCTCTGTAAATTTTATAAACAATTTTTCTTCCAAGTCATAACAACAGAGGATCCTCTCATTCTTCTTCAAAGACAGTACCTTGATCCTTTATTCAGTCAGTAAATAAAGGTTTATTCGATATAAATTTATTAAGCATCAATCAAATGCCAGTCATTGGGCTAATCTGTGGGAATAAAACATGACCATGCCCACAAGGAAGTGAACAGTCTGAGGAAATATAAATTCCAAGAAACGATAATAAGTTTAGAATAAAGGGTAAACAAAAATGTCGGCTTCAGGAAAGTGGTAATGGCCAATTCTACTTGGAGAATTAAAGTGAGGCTTCATAAAGGGGGTAACATTTAGGTAAGGTCAGGCACAATTACATGAAGATAGTGGGAGAAAGCATTCCTAACACCAGGAACAGTATGTACAAAGTCATAGAGGAATCAAAGAGCAGAGTTTTTACTGGCAAAGTTTCGAAGATCAGGGTGAATTGAGCAGAGTGTACCTGGAAGAGAACGGCAGGAGATGAGAATGGGAAAAGCACAACAGGTCCTCATACACAGAATAAGATGAGGGCCAAGAAACCTGCAGATAAAATGGAGTTCAGTATGTGTGCTGAACGATAAACAGCAAATGAATGGATTAATGAATGAACAAATGTCCAACTGAAGCTTTAACTTTCCTGAGAGACCTTATCAAAGAAATCAAGGGAAGCTTTAAAAAAAAAAAAAGAAACCAACTGTACCTCTGAAATCAGAGCGAGCAACTAATTAATTTGTTTAAAACAAATTTTCATTCAAGAGTCTATATTAAGCACATGTGCACGTGACCACAGGTAAATACAAAAGGTGATAAAAAGGAAAAGAAGATGACAGTATCTGTTAATTAGCTGGATCTCCAGCCCCGAACACAAATATAGAAGCTAGACACTTGGACTGAGAGAAAATGGAACACAGTCGACATCTTCAAGCAAGCCAGGTAACACATGGCAATGTTTCTATACTAAACTAAGAATTATAAAATAGACTAATTCAAAGAATATGTGGCTTCGCCTCCCTCTCGATCTCACTGCCTACTACCTGCCTCAGATTTCACGCCTAAAGAGACCTAAGCTGCCTCACTCCATATTGCTTCACAGTTCGTGTCTTCATTAGTGTCACTACCTTTCCATAACTCCCTTCCCACAGACATAACACTCATTTAATAGACCCAAATGAGTCATCTTTCAATATCCACCGCACGTGTCATCTCCTACAGTTTCCTGGTTTCCCCCAACATTCTCCAGTAAGTGGTCACACTTTTATCTGAGCACTTACCCTTTATCCTCAAATCATCTGTTCACATGACTGCCTGCTCCACTACTGGGCTGCAGGCTCAAAGTACAGAAAGTCAGTCTCATCCACCTTCATGTCGGGAGCAACCACGCTGTGTGCTCCTAACTATATAAACTGTTCCTGGCTCACAGTGGATAGCTGAATGTTTGCTGAGCCAAACTGCTGAATTAGCTTGTAAAAATATTTTGTAAACTATAAAGCACTCAACAAATATTGTCTGCTGCTATTTACTGTTTCCTTTTCAAGCTTATTCTCTGTCAGGCAGCATCCATGTGCTCCAGGCAAACTGACCTATCAATGTTTCTTATAGCCACACGCTATATCCCACTTCTCTCTTAGCAGTTCACACTGGTCCCCTTGTAAAGCTCTTTCTCTCCACTTATTCAAACTGCACCAATCCATGGCCTGGCTCTAATATATCCCTTCCAATAAAGCACTCCTAGACAACCCTAACTGGAAGTAATGGCTCCCTTCTCTCAAACCTCAGAGCACTTTGTCACAGTCTGGTGGCACTTATCACCTCTAGTTATGTGCAGGTCTGAGAAGTGGGAAGCCCTGGGCCTGTTATGTCATCATTTCTCTCAAAGCACACAGCAGAGAAAACTGAACAGTTTCAATGAGTAATCGATTACTTCTGATTCCACATATTCAAGGAATAGCCTTCTAGTATATTTTAAGCACCTGAATAAGTGTTCCTCTCTTCAAGCCTTCTGAAACATCCTCCTTGGACAGGTAGGTTTCAAATATGCTTTTTTTCTTCCCTCGTATGGTCTTGCTCTTTGACTTTTTGTCACCTGGTGAAGCACCAACACCACATGGGCCAGCCAAAGAGGATGTGCCTAGAAACATGAGGCATCAATGAACTCTAATCAAACGTCTATCTCCAAAACTGGAGATATTTCACCTTTTTTTTCTTATTTAAAAAGACCAAAACATAATAAAATTCCCTGATAATGATTTCAAATAGTCATAAAGAAGAAAAATTGATAAGGAAACATGAATAAAATGTACACAGATTTGAGACCTGAATTTTAAATCAGCACCACAATATACATGGAACATAACCCGAATAATGGGTTCAGTATGCTTTGCTGGTTAAAGACACAAACTTTTAAAAATAGGAATTACTAAAAGATCATCACTCTTCCAGAGGAGATTAAACAACTGTAATCAATATAACAATAAATTACAACAGCAAGAAAACACACAATTCTAAGGTAAATAACACAGGAGAATATTGAACAGGCCACCAAGAGAATTACAGTCTCCCTCAGTCCTAAGACCTGCCCTGCACCTCCATTCCACTTTAGTTCAGGTCTCCAGTTGCTAGAGCAGATTCCATTTTCCTTTTGCTACCTCTGGGGGTCCCCAGGGGCCGGAGGTTCAGCCGGTAGTCAGGATGGCTCATTACTGGTTCCACGGTCACCTCTTCTCTCTAGATCCAGGAGGGCCTCCACTGCTCAGCTCAGAGTTCTTCTGGCCTTGATCAGCTCAGTTGTCACTAGCTGAAACCAAAGAGAGATGGGTGACTGAAGAACTGTTAACCTGAAGCCTCCTCTGTGCTCTGGGAAATTCAGGACTTGGATGGCAAAGGCAATGTAGTATCCCTGCTGGGTCCTGGCGTCACTTTCTCCTAGGCAGTTAGTCAAGCACACCATCTGTCCTGAGTTGCTTTTCAAGGTCTTCAACCTCATGGGTATCACCAGCCTGCTTGTTTGGGCCCCTTCAACTAAAAATCTCCACAAATAGGGCAATGAGGTTGAAATTAAGGAGTTCTGAGGTTCTATTCAGCTAGTGGAATGTACAAGAGCAGGAGGGAATATGGTTTTGAAAAATGGTATAAAGATCTAGAATCTAAAGTCTATAATGAAATAGGTACTAAACTAGGGCTCAAGAGATGCGGCATTTACTAAGTTTAACCTTAGACAAATGACGTTCTTCTACAAAATCAAATAAATCAATTCCTTAGAATTCATCAATATAAACATAACCTAATTCACTGCCACAACCAGATGTCCAAAACTATGCATGGAACTACAGATGATTCACTAGCTTTCAAAAAATGGGACTACTGTAGTTAGACATCTACTTCCCTACTCTTACCTGCCATCACTTCAAACCAGTCATCTGACCAGAAGCTCCGGCAGCTGCTCCTAAGGAATACAAGGCAGCTGCCTGGCTCAGCGGACTGGAATGTGGGGCCCTGCAGCTGGCCCCCTGGCCTTTGACCTGGACACTGAACATGTCATCACTACATCTACTTTCTATTCTCTGCTGGCCACAGGCCCAGGATTCAAGCCTATACTTGCAAATTCTCAAAATCCGGATGGGCAGCCTGCTTTCCCATAAAGTGGATCAAGATGTCATTCTGAACACTAAAACCCTTTCCTCTAAACTTCCCACACACATCCTTCACCAAAATGATGTAATTTTTCTTTAAATTGAAATTAATACTAACGCAGGAGAGGAGAAGTAACAGAGACAGAGTAACAAGCCACTTAGTGATAAGTGAAGAGATTCAGAGATAAAGTCAAGAAGTTTCAAGAAGAGAGAGAAACAGATGGTCTTAGATAAACAACAAGGTAGTGGAAAAAGCAAACGGAGGAGTCCAGACCATCTGCTGGTTTCATTCAGAAATGCATTCATCCACTCCTTAATTCAACAACTATTTCTGCAAGATACTATACACTAGGCATAGTGAGGGATACAAAAGTTAATTAGACTTATAGAACTCATATTAAAATAACAACTAATACAAGTTGGGGAGTGATAAGCACTTTTTTTTTAAGCATGGGTAATGTACATATGATGGAAGAGAGTATCTCCAGATCAGGAAATCCAAGAGAGCTTCAGGAAAGATGTTAAGAACTGAGAATGTGAGAAAAGCATACTGTTGGCAAAAGGAAAAAAATATATAGACACACAAACAGAAAAACACAGGCAGGTTCTTGCCACATAAATTCCATTTGGATGGAGTCCAGCCTATATGAAGGGAGGCAGTGGCAAGGAAAATAAAACAAGTTGGGAGGTCTAGAAAACCCGCCCCGTTTCTCAAAGGCGGTAGGGAATTTCTGAAGCATGAATGAGCGGAAGAGAAGAACAACAGACCAAAGTTGTGTTTCAGGAAAAATTAACCTGGCATAGCACATTTAGAGTCATCTAGAGTTGAGAAAGACTGGCAGCAGCTGCACCTCAGGAAAGAACCAGAACAGACTGGGTGAAAGGAAAGGAAGGCCTGAACTAGAGTTGCAGCTGCAGACACTGAAACGAACAGACCATTAACGTGGTATTACATAGGAAAACTGGCACCACTTGGCAACCAGGCATTTCTGAAGGAGAGCAAGGAGGTGGCAGTTGTGTGAGATTCCAAGTAAGGAGACTGGGGGATGATAACATCACTAAGTTAGAGAAGATGATGAATTCTACCTGGGGTATTATATACCTCTACACGGCAATACATACCTCTATACATACGCCTCTACACACACTTCTACATCAAGAACTTGAAAACGGGAGCATAACTTAGAGAGATGAATTAGCCAGCCATTTGCATAAAGATGGTAACCCAACGTTTTCTAGAATGGAAGAGATTGCCAGAAAGGGGTAAGGTGATGCAGAAGAGGGCCTAGGACAAAATCTGGGTGAGGGCAACTTTTTTTTGCAAAGAGGAAGAAGAAGTAGAAAACATAATAAAGAAACTAATAAAGATATAGGAGGAAAAACCAATAGAGTCTGATGCTAAGAAAACAAGGGAGACAACGACTTCCAAAGGAAGACAGGTTCATGATCAGGGTTTGCAGGAACTACTAAGAAAACAAATAATGGCAGCCTTGGGTGGGGCAAGGGGTTGGAGCAAGCTGCAAGCAGGAGAAAGGCAATCCAAAACCAAGAGCCAGAATTGACAATGGGGCGCTTCATATCAAGGCTTGAGGCAGGCACGAGTTCAAAGTTAAGGGGAGTTACTGCCAGTCAAGTGAGACGGAGGCACAGAGATCTCAACTCAAATGTCCTAGGCCAGCTGCATTTGTAACCTTTTTTCACAGCAAATGCCTCAGTTGGTGTGATTTACACCTAACTTTTCTGTCTAGCTCAGGAAGATAAGGAATGTTTGGTTGAGATCATCACTATAATCCCACTAGCTCCCACAGTACCTAGGACAGAATAGGTGCTCAATAATCACTCCTTAAATGACTGGATGCGTTTGTTTTCATGAGCAAGCAGTGAGAATACCAAGCAAAGCAGGGTCATTCAGGGAAACCATGCTAAAAATAAATCAGCAAAGAATGGAAAACCAGGAAACAAAGTCGGCAAGAATAAGCCAGACCAGCCGAGCAGAGTCAAAGTCTGCCTTTGGGTATCAAAGCACTGGAAGCAGATGGAAAGATTCCAAGAATACAAGATGCTAAGCAGAAGACAAACAAGCAAGCAACCTTCCCTTCCCAGTGATGTAGTTGTGAAGGCCCATTAACCCTGGAGAAACCCTGGACACTCCTACCCTGACACACTAAAAGCACAAGTCACCAGCTAATCCTCACCAGCTTCCAGAATGAGGGCCAATGATACACTGCCCAACTGCCCACTGGCTCCTAGAGAGGGTGTCTTGCCGTGGAAATAGCTGTACATTCTGAAGAGCTGGGCTATGATTAGGATGAACAGGGAGTAATGGTTAATAGTGTCACACGGTACAAAAGAGTAGTAATGAGGAGTAATGTCGGAAAAGCACTAGACTTGAGAAAGTGTAAACAAAGAAAGCATCTGGGTAAAAGAAGTGGTGTCTTGAGACCCAATGTATAGTACAGAGCAGGTGCTCAAAAATTTGAATAAATGAAGACTATCTGGGACAAAAACCAGGTTACAACAAATATATACTAGAGAGAAATATGAGTAGCAGAGCCAGGACTAGGGTGAGGCAAGCAAGGCACCTAGGACACAAAAGTTATGAAAGCTAAGTGACACAAGTGCCAACCCCATGCTTGTAGGACTCCAAGATAAGTGCCTCCTTAAATGTTTGTGCCCTAGGCATCTCACTTGCCTTACCCTAGTCTCATTCAGCCTTTTGAGTAGCAAGAACAGAAGAAATTTATGAACCTCGGTAGTGAAGGAGACTCAAGGAGATAAAGTCATGAGAGGTTTAAAGAAAGAAAAGGTTAAGCCTACTCAGAAGCTAAGATGGAGCCAATGGAAAGCGAGAGATGGTAAAAACATGTGAAAGAGGATATAATAATGGAATAAAGAAAAAAAAGGATGGGATCAAATAAATCTCACTGAAATTTAAAAATAAAAAATATACATTGCAAATAATTGGGAAACACATGAAATAGTTAAGTAATGTTAAAACACTACTTAATGCCATTTTTTTAAAAAATAGCCAATAGATCCCTACTTCATAACATATTCTGAAATAAAATTTAAATGTTTAAAAATGAGACAGAGAAACTGAGAGAGAAGGCAGGGGAAAGAACCCCCAGAATGCTTGAATGAGGAGTTTGACAAATATTATCCCCAACAATAAAAATGGACAAAATTATCAAAACCAACCATTTAAGGATCTGGATATTAACCGAAGACATACAACAAATTGAGAAGTGTTTATTCAAGAAAAATCTACTGAATCTCAGTAACAACAGTGGAAATGTATGGTGGTTTAGCCTAGGGCTCCCACCATCCTACACCTACCCCCAGTTTCTTGATGTGGAAGTCCTACTAGGACAGGGCAAGCTGTAATGACTGGCAACCCCACTGCCAGAGAGAGCTATATTTATTTGGAGCAGAGCGAGAAGAAGTCCACGCCCACAGGCATTTTTAACGACAATAGTGATTTAAGGGACAAAAAATCAGGGAAGGCCAATATCACAGCTAGTCTGGTTTGTAATACCAGTTAGGGCAAGCAACAGATCAAGAGACCAACCAGAAATATAACAGGGAGAATCAGGGAATGAGACAACCAAAGTGCATCTTGTAAGAATCTACATTTTCCTGCTGTGTGTATGCTCAAGACTGTAAACATACAGGAGAGAAATGAGTGGGTCCTAGAGAGCTATTCATCCCTGGATGAATGTGAGCCTTGCAAATACGGAAAGCAAAAGCAAGGGCAGACTTGTAAACTGCCTCAATTTTGAATGCATTTCCCAAGTCTCACCAGGACCACTGACAAAGGGTGGGGGCCTCATCGTTTCGAGGAGTTTAAACACAACTTCTGACTAATCATAAGCTGACCACTAAGATATGCTGACTCAAGGGCAACTATCAGAAAGTCATGCTTAAAAATAAAAACAAGAAAAAAAGAACTGAGCAGAGACATGAGCAGCTAGCTACACACCATGAGAGAAACAGACTCCACGGAATTAGCCCATGCAAGCCGCTAAACAGAGCAACCACCTCCAACTCTGGAGGAAAAGGAATCAGAATGCAGAATATATTATCAACAACATCCAGATTTCAACAAAAATTATAAGATATGCAAAAAAAAAAAAAAAAAACAAACCAGAAAAGTCTGACCCATACA